TATATACCATTATCATGTCACACGATTGACTACTATACACAAATTAATGAAGCTAATCTCGTGGCATTGAACACTGCACATTGTAGGTGGTAAAATTGCTGTGATCGGTGGCTGTACTGAATACACCGGGGCACCTTACTACAGTGCCATATCGTGTTTAAAAGGGGTATGTACAATCCGTAACTGCTTCGAATCGAGCAGCTTGTGTGTAATTGGTTATAAAATGTCGTATATATTCGTTTTGATATTTGGTCCAGCACTAGACTCGTGATGCCTATACACCTTCATTGACACGACTCGCCCGCAATAATGTGTATTTATTTGTTCGATTGTCGCATTGTCTCTATAGCTTGCTCTCAGGCCCTATAATCAAGATTATGGTACCATTCATGTCCTGAATCACTCTTCGGGTGTATGTAGATCATTTGGTAGTACTGCATTGCACATTCTCCATGCATAAAGTGCACTATGCAAACATGTGGTATGCTTTAATTCCATGTCCCAGGGCGCGGATATTGCGCATGTGTTCTGTACGGCTGGAGCTGGGCCTATTATCAAGTCATACAGCCCCGAATTGATAGTGCATCCGTATTTGCTGGAGTTGTCCAGGTATAGTACACTGGTGTGTTCATTTACGCTTACAAACGTTGCAGGCCCTAGTTATGATTTAGATACATTTGAATTGTAATTTTTCTTTCCGTAATTGGCTTGATATCGCATACGTATAGGATTTCCAAAAAAAATCATCATTGCTGTTTATATCGGTACGGGTATAGATGTCAGCTTTGTTCCTTTTCTCGGCTCTCATAGCGGCTGCGTGGCACTTTGGTATTGGATACAAATCCGTTGCATATCCAAGACTGTCATATGCTCTTCTGTACCGTCGTTAAATTTACACCTGCGTTATATCTATCCACCAATCCGCACGGATGACGCCTGCTTACCCTCCGTTCCTGTGCGCCTCTTCTGTGCGTAGACCCGATAAGTCCAAACAGGAGTCCGTGACAAGCGAGATTCGCAAGTGGCTCGACAAGTTCGATGTGCTTGTAGGTAGGTTGTTCGTTGTGGTTACTTCCGATGTTGTGTTAGGACATACTGTACTGCGTCCGCCTCCCTCTGAGGCTTAGCGGAGAGTGTCTTCTGAGCACTCTGATTCTTCGTCTCTTTTGTCCTGTGTGTCATGTTACCACCTGTCCCAATCACGTGAAGAGTATCACCGCTATCTTCTGTGTGACAAGGTCAAGTTGTATCATGTATTCCAAGAGTATGCGAGAACTGCTGGCAGGAACTGTTTTAGTTGGCAAGGACATCTTCCTATACGCAGCAGCATGGTCCCGGGGAAGGTCGACCGCCTTGTAGCTCGTGGAGTTGTGCAGAATGTGCAATTCCAGAATAGACCTGGCAGGCCACTTAATCGGTGTTTTGCTACACACAAAAAAAAATGGTTAGATGTTAATTTTGCGGTTTTGTAGCGGATAAGAGCGAGCAAGTGTGCGCCTGTATTATGGAGTGTGAAAAGGAAACTGAGATGCATTTTTTGTTGTTACAGTGTATGCTGAATTTTCTGCCCAAGTTATGATGTGAGTGTACAGTCATTTGTATAAATCTTGATCGCGGCATCACACGACGATCTGGGATGTCACACTGGTTGCGACCAAAGTTTTGTTTGTAAGGAGATACTTAACGAAACTAAAACTTGATCTGAATTTCGATACGCTAGTGGGGCCTGGATTGGGGCGGAATGACTTCCTGCATGACTGTGTGGATGTTATTCTGACGGATGCGCGGGAGAGGGACATACCCATTATAGTCGATGCGGTGAGTTAGTCGTGATCTGAATGCAGGCACGCGCGAACGGGGGTGTGTTGTATTTGCTGAATGGAGAATCTGAGTGTCAAGAAATTGCGTAGTTGTGGGTTTCTTCTGAGTAGCTTCTGGGTGTATATTCGTGTGAGATAAGAATAATCAAATGGGGGAGAACGGAGCTCGCGCAGGTTTGCACACGCGCTGTGGATGTTTTGATCCGTGTCGTTTAATGCTCTTCATTTACATAGAACACTAAATGTGAACAACTCTCGTACCATCCGAAGTATGGATATGACTACCTATGCTGGTTGGTTATGTAGCTCATATCCGCCATTCTCTCGTCTTATACAGGATGGCCTGTACAATCTGACAAGGAAACCTTCTGTCACGCTTCAAGGATATCTCAGAGCTACGATCACGCCCAATGTCGCCGAGTTCAAGCGATTGATGGCCATGTATGGCCAGGACTATAATCAAGTAAGCTTATCGTAAACAATGACCTGCACTATGATCAAGTAAGCTTATCGTGAACCATAACCAGCACCATGATCAAGTAAACTTATCGTGAACCATCCTTCAGTCTAAGTGCACCCCCATATAGAATGGATCCAACTCATATATCATTTCGTATTCTATAGTTTGTCTCACCTTACCGACGTACCGCCTGTCTACACTGACACGGTGGTATCAGTGGCGTGATGTTGCTCTGCCACTGCCTATTGGATCTTCGTGTGTAAGGTAGTGTCGTTCTTGAGGCATGAGGTACTTGACACCTTCTCATGTCTTTGAACCACTGGAGCGATTCTGTAGACGCAATTCAAACCATGGCAACCTTCGTATATCTCGATCCCCTACGATTAACGTATTAGTTATCTCATTACGTTAAACAATGGCAGCCATCGTATATCTCGATTCCCTACGATTAACGTATCAGTTTTATCATTACGTTTGTTCTAGAACGACGAAATGAAGCCGGGAGATGATGCTGTTGCATTGAGCTGTAAAATGGGTGGCGTGACGGTTGTCCAAAAGGGACCGAAAGACATCTGCGCTTTCGAGAAAGGTCAGTGCCTTGCTATATGCAAAGTGTAATCATCTTTGAACTCTCAACTCGCTCCAACTCTCGCGCTGTTTCATCCGGTCGGAACTCTTAACACAAACATACGCTGTTGCTTATTACTAGACTTTGATAGATAAGTTAACAGTAGCACGTGACTTGAATGTATAGCGGAGTTGCAGTGCACGATGGAATCGTTATTTTCTCTGTCGATCTCGGCTCTCAAGATATGATATATGTGAAGGATCAGATCAGTAACACTATTATTCGCATAACTAAGTTCCATGGCCTGTCTAAGCCGTTCTACGCCCCAATTAAATAGGATTCGATGTATGCGACGAACCCGGTAGTCTCAGACGCTGTGGTGGTCAGGGAGATGTACTGTCGGGACTAATCGCAGTGTTCACAAATTGGGCGTACATGGCGCACGAAACTGATCCTACAACCCCGTAAGTGTTTAGGCTGTCGGAAGTTTATATATATACATATATATATATATATGTATATAAATATATAATATATAATATATATATATATATATATATGTATATATGTATATTGTTTATTGTTTATTGTATATACATTTACAATTATAGTATGCATTCGTGAATATTTAAAGCTATGCTGGTCCATCGATGTACCGGACTGACTATGTAAGAACGGTGGCTGTCATATCTATAGGTCGTCCGTGGCATTCCAAGAGCAAAGTTGTAAATAGGACTCATACATTCAGCCCAGCCTATAGATTTCGTGGCTTCGAGCTGTAATATCGACTTAAGTTTACCTATTCGTTTGGTCTTTCATACATTGCCTTATCCGATTGTTTGCGCCCAAGGTCGCTACTGGCATGCAGAGCCTTTGCAGGATGCTTGTATGTATTTTTTATTCACATCTATGCTGTACAATTATATATGTATGCAAGTTTCTACATATACATATACTCACATGCTGCACATGCTGGTCTATTGAGGTACTGAGACACTTGAAGATAGTACAAGCCTACAAAAGTACGCATCCGTGAATGTTATTTAACCATCCTCATATACATATATATACTAATATTCTTTTTCTCCAGTGGATTACCACAGTTGAACGGGGCCTTTGCCGGCTGCTTTATAACCAGACTGACAGCACGAAGAACCTTCCAGCATGTCGGACGGTCCATGGGTGTACCGGATATGATTGAGATGCTTCCACGTGTCCTACTTGATACCTTCCCCACTAAATATGGTATGCTTGACGACGACGACGACACATAGTGGAGTGAAGCATGTATGGGCTCATGCCACTGCAAACTTAGGCACTGAGGGTACTTATGTGTGTTGATAGATGCATGGTCCGTGGGTGTTTGAGAAGCCTCCTATGCATCTTACCTCACACCTCCCCACGAGGTATGGTATGCGCGATCACGTCAACGGGTAGTGGGGTGAGTCATAGATGGGGTGGTTGGGCTGCGAGGTGAGGCGCATAGGAGAGTGGTTGTATTGATAGGTGCACGGGTGTGCTGCGGAAGGCGATAAACCTACCTACCAAGAACACGCCGTGATATCCACACAGTGGCTTGGGCGTGAGGACCAGCTTTCGAACGTCATCCGAGATGGTTTTTATTTTTATTTTTATTTTCAAAATCGACACCATTAATGCCGATAGCTGTCATTTTAAGGCTATACTGTGCAGCGACGAAGTGGGCAGTGAATGCACCCCAAACACACATAGGGCGCGCGATGTTTACAGCTTTACAAGATATCGCTGGTAAGGTCAGAGAAAGCGCCGTTTGTCTGTGCTGGGCAAGGTACAGTAGTATTACAGTTAGGCAAGGTACAGTGTATTACAGTAATTGCGTGTCTCTGAGGGCGAGGCATGTGTAAACCAGAATGACTGGACTTTTATGTCTGGCGGGGGGGGTGGGCAATGGCCAACCATTTATAACTCAAAAAGATGCAACGGACGAGTCTGTCGCGGATGCATTGTTCAAATGTTCGGCGGCCCTCTACAGATGTTGTTGCGTACACTAGCAGATAAAACGTTTGGGGAAAACGTTCATCTCTGCGCCAAAACGAAGTATTTCGCTTTATTCACTCGGAATCGCTCGGTCTGCGGTGCTCTCCGGCATATAACAAGTGGCTGCATGAACATGCTACACGTGCCCAGCCGAATCCGTAGGACTCTTCAGCACACACTGCAAGTGACCTTACAGATGTACTAACGTAGAACAATCTGTATCACATCACATTGATCGCATCAGAGTGAAGCACGCGCCACCGGTCCCCGGGCGCCATAGAGTGCAAACTGTAAACTATTTAAACGACGCGGAGGATTCGTTGCAGTGCTGTGGCATAGTCCAATCGAATACGCTGTCGTGTAGATATGTCGTATGCTCTTTGTATAAAGAAGTATGAGCAACAGTTCTCATGAAAAGCAGTTTGTGTTGTGGTGTAGAATGGTAGCTCTGGTCGATAGGAGTACATTATTGTCCCTGACTGTGGTGGGTACCTACAATTTTTTTTTTGGATCAGACTGTTATCTGTATGCGTTCAAAAGTTTCTGAGACACGCGCGCCGATTCGCAAGACAACAGAAAACAACTGAAATTACCATACTGCTTTCAAGCGTTCACATACACATAACATCGGTACGCGCACGACAATATGCTTCGGCTTTATTGTGGTTGCCACCTTCACGTATGGATGAGATAGCCTTCAGCGTCATCTACCCGCGATGTAATTGCCAGAATCGCTACATAGACCTTCCGCGATAGTTCCTACGATCGCGAGTAGTGACGCATGCTTTAAGATGGGAACGTGGCCGTGTGAAATGGTCTGACCTTTCCTCCGCATCAACTATACAGTATACTAATTATCTAAAATATGACAGGCCTGGATGTGTGAAACTGACTGAATCTTGTAGGTACAACTGTTCACATGATGTGTACAACCCGACTGCTACACCCGTGGACTTCCCTGAGTTTGCAGAGCTGACATTGAATTAGAACACCCAAGTATAACTTGAGCCATTCACGGCTTGCGCGCTGTAACTCGCAAACCTCCCAGTGCACCCTCTGAAAACAGCGTGGACACAGCCTTGTAGAAGCGTAGCAGACCATCAGCAACATGTGGGCCGTACACACGCCTGTGCCTCTCCATCTTCTCCTCAAACATGTGGCATCTTGATGAGGTGAATTCGGTCCAAGATGCGGTTAAATCAGTTACTTGGACGTCAATAAAGCCGGCGCTCTGTAAGTCTTGTGTGTATTGTGCTATGCTGGTTAGTTTCTCGCAGTAAACCTCATCAGCCAAGGTTTCTGTCTCTACTTCGCTGAGGGCCCTGATCTGATAGAAGTCTTCGATCACTAGCCTACCCGACCCACTCTGCAGCGCATTATAAAACGACTGGAACGTTGCCGCTTTATCCACTATATGCAGCACCACCAGGAACGTAAATATTACCGTGAAACTGCCAACCTGGAAGCCGTTCTCCTTCAATACCTTCTCCTGAGCAGACGTATAGTCACCTTGAGGGGTACCGAACATCTCCACAAAGTCTCCACACAGATGCGTGACCTTCGCGCCCATCTCGCAGGCACGAGTCAGCCTTGCCGACGTTTCATTCACATCCGGCTGGAATTCGACCGCCAAAACCTTGCACCCATATTTGGCTGCCAGATACCTACTCGTGCCCCCTACACCCGCACCCGCATCTAACACTATATCTGCACATGTCAAATCAATCAACTGAGCTGCCTCCTCCACTGCTTGTGTGCCGTGGTAGTGGTACTGATCGTATCTGTTTAGCACATCCACAGACAGTGGCTTTGAGGCGTGTTCCGACCAGCCGGTTTCTTGGCGGAGGTCGTTGAGCACTCTGTCCGTGGCAGTGTACAAGCGCATGGTCTTGATATCCACCTCTGCGCTTTTCTTTCGTTCTGACATGATGATGAAGGTATATAGCTTTGTATCTGTTTTGAGTATCCTGATGTAGTGCTGATTGATCGTTACTAGGGCCCCCTTTCTCGTGACCTCGTGACTAGCTCGGTCAAACAGTATATTGAACAGGAAGTGATAATGATATCTAGTAAGAGTCCCGCTGCAAACGTCAGTGATAGCTAACTGAAAGTGAAGTGACGCATATTCTTTGCTGTATCTCAGTTTGAATCAGCGATCAAAACAATATAAATAGAGACATGCGACATCAGTCAGTGTTTTTTTAAAGGCAGTACTACATAATATAACTTAAAGCGTAAAACTTATCAGTGTTTACTGTTCTATTACTGTTTACCGCATTGTACTTTACACACTCGTTTATGCAGTTTTTATTTAGTCTATCTTTCAGTTTCAGTGTGTATCTTTGGCTTTTACTATTCACCCAATCATATATTTCGTATGCCTACCGTGTTACTCCAAAAGCTTTTTTTTCAGAATGCTCATACATACTCTTGTTTCCAGAAATCCGATAACTTGTCATTATTATAACTATATTGGCGTCTAATTTTCAGAAGGCTATGATATTGGGACTCATAATACACGTCAATCATAAATACTGTCGAATACATACATAGTTGTCTAGTTTGAACTTTTGAAGTGGTCAACCTGGGTGAGGCTCCTGGACTCTTGTGTGGCAGTATGGCTGTGATTCCTCGAGTGGGCAGCTTGAATGTTTGAACACAATTTATTGTACTGTTATACCGAATACTCTATTACCAGTGAATTGCCGTATAAAAATGAACTCTCGAACTGTAGGGGGGTCTATAGGACATATCCACGAGGACATTAGCGGTCCCATTCTACAGCTTTATCTCGCCTACAGATGGAAAATGCTTCCTAACTGTACTGGTCGATATACATGTTTGGATCACAAGTCAGTTAGTGTTCTGACACCGACAGAACTCGTTAAGGACATGGATAGGTGTGTTCCTATGACAACGACGAGAGCCTTGTTTATGAGATAGGGTGTCTCAGTACTTGCACGCCTAGGAATTGGTAGGCATGTGTCTACGATAGGCATATTGTGGTTTGAGATATGGAGACTATATGTGCTCGTATATCTAGGAATTAATATCTGGGACGATGAATGTGATGACATACTATCGCGTGATGCACAATTTAGTTATCGACCAGTACTATTCTCCCAGTAGCGTGATATATTATCTACTTATTCACAAGCCTTTTTAAATTGGCAGGTGTGAAAGAACGCATCAACACTTAATCTACGCATATTTATTGAATGCACTCATCTTTGCAGAGCACTCCCATCACATTCCATGTGATCGAGTGCATAGCTCAGCGCTGGATGGATTGCAGTATTGAAATACAATCAGATTTGATAAGTCATAGCCTTCTGCTTGTTTAAAGGGCTATGTATAAGTTTTTACGCAGACGTACGTTGCTGAGTCGCCAATCAGATGCATTTTGTAGAATATGCTGGCTTCGGTGGGTTGTATAATATTACGAACGTCAGATATAATCTCCTGGATAGATTCAATACTGACGCTATTGGCGATAGATTCAATACGGACACTATTGGCGGGTGTTGCTTAGCTAAAATTGCCCTCGCGCGTATAGCAAATGTCAGAGGAACAGTACACATAAAACCCATTTCGGCAACAGAGACGCTCAATGCTCATAGGCGGTGGCTGATAAGTCTATTATGTACGAAGAGGACAACTGAAACGTCCATACTATACAGTTAATACTCAGTACATGTCTATCCCAAGAATACATTTAGCGTAATTATGTTATATTATGCGTTCATGGCATCATTTTGACGATATCATTTTATATTATGATATATCAAGTATACATAGCATCACGTTAACCATACCATTGTAATTATGATATATTAGGCATAAATAGCATCACGTAGACGTATCCATTTCATATTATGATATATTGAGCGTACATGGCATCGCCTTGACGATACCATTTCATATAATGATATTAACCATGCCGTTTTATATTCCTGTATATTTAGCGTACATAGGATCATCTTAACCATACCATTTTGTATAGTGATATATTAAGCGTACATAGCATCACCTTGACCATACCGTTTTATATTGTGATATATTTAGTAAGCATAACATCACCTTGACCATACCATTGTATAATATGATGTATTGAGGTTTTAATTGAGCGTCATACCATCACCTGAACCATACCATTTTATATTATGATATATTAGGCGTGCATAGCATCACCGAGACGTTACCCTTTCCCGTAAAAAAGATCCTTAGTCTGAACATTTCCTTCAGTTTGGGCCCGTTTAATCCTTAGTTGCGTTTGCTCGACCGAAATGCATGTAAGTGGCGTGTTGTCCACCCTCCTTCTGCATTGGGCGTGTAGTATACTCCTCCCACTCACACCACACTCCCACATTTGAATCTGCGTGTTGTGTGCTCCTGTCATTCACCCCACCCCTCTCACATTTGTGCGTGCAGAGAGATAGGAGACCAATGGCGTGCCGTTTGCGTTCAATTCGATCTACCCGGGAAAGACCCGATATTGGTACACCCGCTGGATGAGCACAACACTACAGGTATAATCACATACGTAAAGGTGGACACACACGCCGATCCGGTGACCACTCGATATGTCCACACACTGAATACACCGTCCGGGTTTCGCCGCAAGTTAGAGGCGATTGGTATCAGTGTAAGTGATACGGCTATACATCTTCGTGCGCCTTGCTGACTGGTGCAAGTGTACCTACTACGCCTACCTTCGGTAGGACTACCTGGTTATCGGCATGCGTGTGAGTTATTTGCACCCACTCATCTTGATGCATCTTATATGCCAGTTGGATTGCGGGTAGTAGCCGTATATACAGACCTCTCTTACACTCTTGCAGATACACACACATGTACACTTGCATATACATATACATGTACACTTGCAGAGTGCCTTGTTGTGGGTCCGTAGAGATGTGCAGGTCTACAATACTACCGTCACCCGTCGATCGTTTCCTCCAGATGGTACTGCCATTGAGGACGACGTTGGTATGAGGCTGTGACTTAGTTTAAAGGTACCGTCAAGAGGCGTACGCACACACTCCTGCTTTGCTGGCCCAGGCGAAGTGATTAACCAGTGGCGTTAGGGTAGGTTTGCCTGCTTGTGTACTAGATTGAGCTCTCTCTAGCGTCGGATGACTTAATGACGGATGCTATTACACTCCTGGGGTATCTGGCCCTGCTAAACCCCTAAACCCTAAACCCTGTCTTGGCTACGGGCCCATCTATTGACCATATGGAAAGCGTTCATTGCAATAGCTATCACTACAAGACATCTAGAAAAGACGGGATTTTAAACCCCTAAACCCTAAAAGTCCATTTTAGGTAGTGTTAGATCCTCTCTTCTGCTGAGTTCCCTAGAGCTCAGTAAAAATCTGACATAGCCCATCCCGGACTATCCACCACACAGGACAAATTTAATACAAACAAGTTGGGTTCAAATAAATAACCCAAAGCCTCGAATTGAGTGCATTGGATGCGTACATTTTACGATGGATAATTCATTTTACTATGATGCGTGCGTTTTACTATGGATGCTTGCAGTCTACTATGGGTGTTGACGTTTTGCTTAGGATGCGCACGGTATACTATGGATGCGCACGTTATAATATGGATACATACGTTTTACTATGGATGGGTACATTTCACTATAAATGCGTACAGTTTACCATGTGTGGGGACGTTTGACTATGACTATGGATGCGTACGGTTTACTATGTATGGTAACGTTTTACTAAGTTCTTGTACACCAGGTGGTTCTATACTAATTTCCGCGTGCCCCCCATCGTCAGCTGCCATGACACACCGGTACAATGGCCTATGCACTGCTTCACAGCGCCAACGCTGGCCAAGAATACGGGTGTAACAGTGGCATAGTCTGAGCAACTAGGCGTATCGCATGAAGCGTCCGACTGCCCTAAAGCTTCAAGGCACACCCATCTTCAACCAGTCTAGACGTATCCCTATCTAAAGTAACCGGAAAACCATGCCTATACAAAGCAGGTGCCTCGGTCGTCCTACCAGGCCATTGATCCCTGTACCCGTCTCCCCACACACGAGACCAACTGTTGCGCAGTCGTCCACATATGTTTGCATGCTGTGGTCCTGTGTTCGTTTCTCTCGTATCTCTATAGTCCGTCGAGCACATAGCGCCAGGCTGCGTTGCGTGCGTATGGCTACTCATTCACCTGTAGTCTCTTGATAGCTTCGTGTGTCTCGGAAGTGCCCTGTACATACGTATCTGTAGTGCTATGCCAATCGTTCCGTGTTAACGAATGTGTGTCGTGCTTAGTTGCTGTGGCCTCTCTCTCAGTAGACTATACTGACAGACGTCACTGTCCCTGAACTGAGTCCTCAAACCCTAAAACCCTAGACTACGCTATAGAACTGATACATCATTCCCCCCCCCGCTCCGTTTCCGTAATCCCGTGCGAGTGTGATGGATTTGACCTCTGATAACCATTCACCAGTTAAGTATGCCACGCACCACTCAATGGGCATACACCCCCGTTAGTGAGCAGTTTGGTTGGTTAGTGAGCAGTCTGGTTGGTTAGTGAGCAAGTTGGTAGTTCTACCCTATCGAGGTATATTGATCTGTCGTTGGTGTGTATCCTCTGCGCAATCGATGGCCAACAACCCATGGCCGCACGACTGACTGACAAATCCATTCACCCGTTCACAGGTATAACGTGCATGCATGCACAGGAGATAAGTACAGTTGTTACCCATTCCGAGGGCCTATCTACACCACAGTTTGACTCACTCTGTAGTGAGATGCGACCGAAGAAGTGGGTACCCTCCTCGCCACGTGTATTGCTACATGCTACACGGCTCTAGTCTATAGTATAGAGCTCATGTGCTCTAGTCTATAGTATAGAGCTCATACGCTTTAGTCTATAGTATAGAGCTCTACGCCCATTCCGTCGGTAGAAGTCGTTTGTCCATGACAGCCATTGGCCCAAGCACACGTACACACGTGTACACTTGTACGCTTGCACTCTCGTGTGAGGTCTCCGAATGCCCTGTGAAGTGAATGGATACACCGGCTGACAAACCCAAGGGTTGCCCAACCCTACACCAGTCCGGTCTGTTCGGTTGGCAGTGCTTGTCTGGATGTAGAGAGAGCACTCTACGGGTGCCCATAGTATCGCCCGGTGATCGTGGTCTCGTATGCCTACACACACGAAAGAAACGAACCATATGAGCGACACAAACCTAAGTGCAGTGTCTAAGTTGTTTGTAGGGGACACGGTATGTGTGTATGATCGGCATCCGACAACATGCCAACCACTCTGAACTGCCCGAGAGGGTAAGCTAGAGCCACATCTGTCGCTCCAATACATATACATATGTACCTATTGAGTTGTGCATATGCATCGCTATCATGTGTAAACCTGGCATATATAGTTTATCTAGTGGGTACACCTCACTATTTCCATGTGTGCACTTATGAGTGCATCATCGCGCATACATACATACAGACAGACGAATGTGTAAACTCATATATATCCCTCATCACAACCCCCGTCTATTGACAGTACTCTGCTCACATTTGCACCATCCATGTGGTTCTGATAACTTGCAGGCAAACCAGCACAACACAACACAACACAACACAACACAACACAACGCAACACAACACAACACAACGCAACGCAACGCAACACAACACAACACAACACAACACAACACAACACAACACAACACAACACAACACAACACAACACAACACAACACAACACAACACAACACAACACAACACAACACAACACAACACA